TATTCATTAAGTATTTTTAAAAATTGATTTCAGAGAGGAAGGAAGAGGGAGAGAGAGATAGAAACATCAATGATGAGAACCATTGAGCTGCTGCCTCCTGCATGCCCCCCACCAGGGATCAAGCCCTCAACTGGGGCATGTGCCTTAACCAAGAATCAAACCCTGACCTCCCGGGTCATAGGTCGATGTTGTTCAACCACTGAGCCATGCTGGCCACCGACTAAGTATTTTAAAGAACTTTCACTTGAATGCCTCGTAGTTGGCAGGTGAAGTGTCTGGGAGAAGTGAAATGAATCTGCACAGTTCTTTTCAGGGCACTGTCACAGTCATCTTATGTATCTGCTGGGATGAGCTTTTCATCTTCATAGCAAGCCTTTGAGGAGGATATTATTATCTCCATTGACTGAAGGAAAATAAGGCTCAAAAAAGGTAAGAAAGTTGCTCTAGGTCACCTATTATTCATTTCAGAGTCAGAATTCAGTATCTAGGTCTGCCAGGACTGTCTTTAGCAGCTCATTGCCTCCTTCACATGTCTGTGCTACAGTGAGGAGACGGTTTGCCTGGAGCAATTCAATTTGATGCTTAGACGAGGCCAGATTAAAGAAGATGAAGAAGCCAGGATGATTAGCTTGAGACTGCAGTGGTCATTGATAGTCTGTGAGCTGGGAGTGAGCATGGTGTGAGAAGTGTTTAGGAAAAATAAGTTGCTCACTGGTTTTATAGACAGGAACAGATGTTTCTATAGTGAGTATAGCTGCAGGGTTCATGTAAAACATCAGGAATCAAAAAATGAAGGCATGGGGTAGAATGGGGCATGGGAACAGAGAACAGATTGCAGTGAGAAACGATAAAGGAAAAATCAAGAGGACTCAGAGGCAGACTGAATGATTCATAGATGACCTCTGACTCATAGATAAGCTTTAGTGACTGTGAGAATTATAGTGCCACATCTGGAGACTTGAAAGACAGAGGTGGTCTAAGATTTTTATGAGCCAGGTTTTGGCAGCCACGACCAGAAAATGCTTCTCCAGGTAGCAGAAGAAGTCACATTTCTGAACTATTTTTAGAGATAGGAAAATAATTTTTTCCTAATCAAGACACATTTTTATTTGTCCTGCTTAAATGATCTCAGAAAGAAGCCAAAAAGTTGAAATAAAAAGGAAGTGCTATAGCCTGTCTCTCTTCTAAATGTTGTTTGTGAGAGACAGAGGATGACAAACAGATGGATAAAGTCTAGTTTCAGGTAAAATCAGTACACTTTCCATATTTATTTATTGGTTTTAAGCAACACTTTGATCTCAAATTTAAGTACTAATCAAATAACTTTTCATGATACATTCCCTAAATAACTTGTTCTATTCTAATAATACCTACCTCATAACACTATTTTGGGGATTTACGTATGATCAAATATGTAAAATTTTATTTGATTGCAAGGCTTATATAAAATGCTATAATTGCATATCATAACTTAATCTTCTGTTAAAGAGGAAGGAAGGACTAGTGAGAAAATCTACTATCTGGCCCCTCATGTGCTAAATCACTACATCTTTGCACTAGACCTTGAAAAACTTGGATCTTCAGTTTTATAAAAGGAACAGGTTAGCTAGATGCCCTGGGAATCTCCACTACTGAGTATTGTGAAGAAAAGCCCTACTATGTATAGTATCAGCTTGTGTCTTAGATGTAAATATTACTACCTTTAACAAAAGAGGAAACACATTGATAATAAAAAGAAAGAAATTGGGGAAAGACCTCATGAATCTCAGTAAGGACACATCAATATATTGTAATAGATTTTTCAAATATTTAAAAACATGTAGAGATTTATGTTAAAGAAGAATTGAAGGCTTAAATCAAGAAGTAGAGTGTCTAGTTCCTTAAATTGGGGATTAGGGGCCTGGCATTATCATTGCAAAATGAAATTAGTGCATTGGAACAGTGAGACTGGTAAGTGAAGGGGTGTGGATTGTCACATGCTTTCCCCCCTCCCCACCCCCTGTTACTTTTTAATGTTTTCTGTGATGGGTCACAGTAAGGAAGTATAATTGCTATGTCAATGGTGGGTCTCACAAGTTATGGCTGCCTTTTTGGTATACATGAAAATAAGACTTTAAACTAAGAAACATGAAAAGAAATAACCATCCTCCACTAATCTGAAAATATGAAAGTATTTAACAATTAAAATTAGCAAAATTCCACACCAAACTCAATCTGTGTTATATCTAAATCAACCCAAACAAACTTTTGGGAATTCTGAAGAAGACATTTGGGGAGAAAAGTCAATAATAAATTTTTAAAAAAGGATTTGTAGTTGGCTTCTGAATACTCTCATACTCTCTATGTTGGTATCATGCTACCACTTAACATTGTGAGGTTCCTTTTCCCTATGATGACACTTAAGTTCTGACCATAACACAAAATTCCAATTGAAACATATAGTTCAGCTATTTTTATTTATTTTAGAGAGAGTGGAAGGGAAAGAAAGAGAAACATCCTAAAACTTTATAGGAACTTTGAAAGTAGTCAACTACCGAAAGCAATCAAGCAAATGCCTAGTCAAGAAGAAATCACATTTGATAAGATAGAAAAATTTGTGATACTTCTTTAAAGTCTAGTGTAACTCAATATGAACATGAGATCAAAATTACTATTGATTTGAATTATTTAATCAGTAAATTCTAAAATCTGGCTTATAGAAGACTTGGAGATAGGACCTCCTTCTTCCACCTCCCAACACACACAAACACAAACACCACATACTGGAGTAAAATCTCTGAGAACTGAAGCAGTAACATTTTTTGAGCACCAACTATGTGTGAAGCACTTTGCTAAGCCCCAGTGGGTAAGGAATTCACACATCCATAGTCATCTTTAAACCAAATTCAGAGTCTATTACATTGGTGGTTAGGGCATGCCTCTGGGCATTGGCCTGCTGGGTTCATCTGGGAATTTTCCTCTTGGCTCAGACATGAAACCAAGATGAGAAAAAAATACAAGCTGAGGTGGAGCACTGTTGTCATCCTCCTGCAATAAAAAAACCATGTATTCCAACAAATTGAAGGAGTTCACTCTTTGTAGTTGAAACTGCATATTACTTTGAGTTCAAATTCTTTCTATTAATATATAAGATTTATTGAAATTATATTGTTTGAGCAGGAGCAAGAAGGCAGAATATTATTTCAGGTTTTCAAGCCATAAGGAAAAATAGTGCCTTTAGGTTTTCCATTCAACTAGGAAAATTATAGCTTCTTATTTGCAACACTGAAGCTAATGCAGTGTCAGCACCTCCATCACACTCCGTTGTTCGGCAGTTTATAACTCAAGCAGAAATGTTCCCTCCAGCCCAAACTTGGCCTATACAATTGCAAAGAAAAATGGGGAAAATTATGCTGGCTAGTGTTGACTTAGAAAAGCAAAAGAGAGGGTGCTTTTACAGGGTATTTTGAAAAACATCTTTGAGAACTTGAAACTATAAAGGGGAATTACTGAGTTGACACCCTTTATTCCTAAAGTTACAGAAATCACCAAAAATTACATGATGCCATGTCAACATCAGCAGTATCCTTACTTTCATGAAAGTCTTCATCAGGTAGAATTATGTATCAAACAAAATTACTGTTTATAGAGAAAAAACACACAATTATAGTGGAAAATAAGGACAGATAGGTAGAAATTTCTCATAAGAGCCATCATTAAGTCTTTAGGTATATTTTTCCTTCAAGTATTACCTCTCTACTGAACTGTACACACACGAAAAAATAAAAGAAAATTTTTTTTCCAATTGGAAAAAAAATATTAGAATGGCAGGCTAGAATTTCCCAAATCAATCTTCCTCCCTCCAGATGTTATCTTGAACTTGGAATAAAGTTAGTGTTGGAGTGTATTCCCAGTGGCAGGTGACAAGAGCTATTGGGCTGTCCAACTCACTGGAGGAGGGTGGGGAGCTAGTGGGTTCTGGGATGCAGTGCAATTTGAACTCATGTGGCAGGTGGGTTAGAGATTGCCTGGTGCCTCTGCAGCATCATATGAGTCTAGCAACCAATCCCTCATCACTCTGATCTCCTGCAGTGCCTTCAAACTACATCCAATCTCTGATATCCTGGTACCTGGGCATCACATAAGAAAGGCATTGCTTCCTATGAGTAAAAGGCTCACTTGTACTGAATAAGTTATGTTATTTTAGGCACGGCACAAGTGAGTTTTCACCCAGCATTTATTAAAACCTTACAATAGGCCAGGCTACAGTGACTTGACAGGATGATGTTCTCCAGGAGATGTCAGGAGGAAATGACAGTTCATAAAGACAACTCCAGGACACCGTGGAGAGCCTCCGGGGTGAAGGATCCCGGAGTGTCAGCGACACCTCTTCCCCACCAGGCCCTGTTTGAACTCACACTGAATCTCCTCTTTTTTCCTTAACAACCACTCTGTCAAACACTCCCTGTGGATGGGACCCTGGGTTTTGCGATCAGGAAGGACCAGGCCTGGGGCAAGGTACCAGGTCAGGTTTTCCCAGGGGCAGCTGTGGAGTCTGGAAGGGAGGGCGAGCCGGCTGTGTGGCCTGGAGGGTCAGGTGGGTGAGGAGGACTCAGGGACTCCGCTCACCTGATTGAAGTGCGCAGCGATGAGCGATGGTTCCCACGCCTTAGAACTGGTGCTGGCCGGCCCACCTTTTTCTTTCTTGGGTGCCATGCAAAGGGCGGTGGAGCACTGGCCTCTAAACTAGGATCAGGCCCAGAGCCAGCGTCCCTGCTGCCCTAGTAACCGAAGCCACAACGGCCAGTTTCTTAACCCCTGCAACTCCTGTCCCCAAACCAGTTCAGTGTTCCCCAAACCGGCTCAACCGCTTCCATCGCCATAGCAACCGAGTTTATCAGCTGGGGCAGCTGGGAGGTGGGACTCCCGGCGCCTCCAGTTAAATCTTAGGGTTTTGCAGCAGGAGACCTGGGCCAGGGGAGGAGAGGATGAGGGCTGCTCAGGCTGCTTTCCTTACTCACTAGGACCCTCTGCTGCTTCTTGGTGCCTTCTCTAGTACGAGGCATTGTCAGAAACTCAAAACCCCTGGAACCCTGTCCTTGTCTTCTCCACCAAGATTTCTTCCATCCTGAATAACCTGGAATGGAGAACTGACCCCTCAGGAGGCGACCCATGTCGGTTTTCATCTGCTCCCACCTGCCCACAATGCTTCCTTTTATGAGGCCACATTTCCCCTTCAACCTCCTGTCTTGGGTCCACCCCCCAGGGCTTTCCTGCACAGGGGCAATCACTCCTCTGCAAGATCCTTCATATAACTGAACAGATCAGTCTCTTTCTAAATCTTCTCTGCCTAATCAGACCCAGTTCTTTTAAATTGGCCTGTGCTGGTCAGCAGAATCTTTCTTTACCCCTTTCCCTCCAGGCACTTCCAAATACCTTAAATATCCTGGTCAGACAGAGTCCCCAAAATAATAATCCTATATAATAAAAGCGTAATATGCTAAGTGTCCAACCCATCAGTCCACCATTCAGTTGACGGTTCAACCAGTTGCTATGACGTGCACTGACCACCGGGGGCAGATGCTCCAACCAGTAGGTTAGCTTGCTGCTGTGGTCCATCCGATGGGGACTGGGCAAGAGGTTCAGACACGCTCTGGAGCCCTCCCGTGGTCTCTCCCTGGCTGGCTGGCCCCCATCGACCCGAATAGGGACTGGGTGAGATGGCCCTGATCAGCCCCAATCACCAGCCAGGCCAAGGGACACCACCCATGCACGAATTCATGCACCAGGCCTCTAGTGATAATGCTAATGCTAATAACAACAGCTCTTGTTTCTTGAGCACTGGTTACATCCTATATAACACAGTCCTATTATTCAATTCTTACAACAACCTGACTTCAAGCCCCACAGGTATGACTGATGGCACCAGGATTAGAACTCAGTTATTATCTGAGTCCCAAATCCAGTGCAGTTAACCTCAACACTACCACCTACCACTGTGTCAGGTCCTCCAAAATAATAGCTGCCCCCTTTTATTTTTTATTGCAATGAGACAAATTGGAGAATAAAATTTCTGATGCATGAGGATGCCAGAGGGTGCCAGAAAGAGGTTTTCCTGAGCATCTCCACAGCCACCACCTGGACTGCCACTGAGTCATTATCATGGAATTTTCTCCAAAATTCTGTTCTTCACTAAACTTTCCTTTATAAGATGAAAATTGTCTTTGGATTATGGCTTGACCATAAAGATTAATCTCTTACAGACAAATATAGGCAATCAGTAATTACATCATTCTGAATTTGGATCATAATTACTCTCATAGGCTTAAACTGTTGGGGAAAGAAGTTCTGCATTTTTATTAGAAAAGCAGTAAAAAATTTGTTGGCCTTCCAGTTCTGTTTTATAAAAAATTTAACCAGATGTTTATGTATGTCATACTATGTTACTAATTTTCTTCCTGAATGTGAATGCATATTTCAAAATAAACATCTTATGTATAGTCAGTTCAGCCAAATCACTAGCAGATGATTAATAAAAATAGGTTGCAGATAAGAAAGAGAAACAAAGAAGAAAAAATAAAATAAGGAGAAAAAAGTAAAATTGTTATTTTAAATGGTAGAGAAAGCGCCAGTAGTTATGTTTTACAAGTGACAGGTGTCCAACCCAATTTTGGTAGCAATATAATGTTTGTGACATTTACTGTGGCAAAAACTGAGTAGCTGTTCAATAATTATTTAATTTTCTTTCCTCCTACTATGACAGTCAGACCACATTTTTCAACCTTGCTTATTCTTAGATACAAACATATGACTGAGTTCTAGTCAGTGGGACATGAGCAGAATACTGCATCGCCATAACCAAGCTTGGCCTATAAAAACATCTCCCAAGCATTGTTCATGCTCTTCCCCATCTGCACAGATATTGGGGTGACCCCGAAAGCTTCACATTTCTGAATGATTGTTGTAGCACAGAGAACCCTTTCCCCTGAGCATCATCCTGCTTTCTTCACCAAAAGCATTTGCTTGGGACTATTAATTGGATGTTAAACTTTTATTTTCTGAAGCTGCTGAAATACTGGGATTTGATATAGCAGTCTGTTACCCTAAATGATCTAACATTTTTGATAATTTTCATTTGAGAATCAGCTTAATAAATCCCAGAAAAAAACCTTGTCATTTTTTAGTAGGCAGGACTCAATGCTGACTCCTAGTGTAAGAAGCACACAGATCTAATCTCTGTCTTTTGGGAGATGGCATCCAGTATTACCCACCTGATTGCACCCTTTACCTGGTCTTCCACTTGCTTATACAGTACATTCTTTTTTATCAAGAAAATAAATTTCTTACATGAAGTAGTAGTTTTCATATTCAAGTAATACAATAAACTAGTCTGCTTATGTCACAAACACATAAAAATTTTGCCCAACAAGATCCATTGCCTAGATATCTATATTTTACACATAAATTATAATTTAGCAAGTGATTTAAAGGGATAGAACTTTTAAAAGCCAAAAATAAAGATTTCTGGATGGAAGAGTGTATATCCAGTATAATCTTTTATACATTCCTTTGTAAGTTCCTATCAGAATAAATTAAAAAATTGGTTTTCAAAAATTGATTTAGATAGTCTTTTTAATCTTTACCTGATATGTTTTCATTGATTTCAGATAAAGAGGAAGGGAGAGGGAGAAAGAGAAAGAAACATCAATGTGAGAGAGATACACTGATTGGTTGCCTCCTGTATGCTCCCTGAACCCACCACCACAGTATGTGCCCTGACCGGGAATTGAACCCATGACCCTTCAGTGGATGGGACAACACTCCAACCAAATGAGCTACATGGGCCAGGGCTGATTTAGATAATTTAAAGTAAGGGTTTTATTACAGAATGCTTTTTCTCTAGTTTTGGCATTTCTTATTATTCTAGGGAGAGTGGTACTCTTAATAATTTATGATACAAAATGGGAAGACATTATACAGTAACCAAATTTATAGGGGGTTTCATCATAGAACTGGTCTGTTTAATTTCAGAAAATAGGTGTGAATGACAATATTCATAGTTTTAAGAAGCAAGAGCCATTCAGCTAAAAAGGGACCCTGCCAAGAATAGGAAAAAAAAGTATTACCATCTGTCAGACATTTATGCTTTCTTGGTATAATAAATTGTTTCCCCCACTAAATATAAGTTGAAACTTTATAAGCATATACTTTACTACATAAATTTTCCCATATGTCAGTGGCTAAAACAAAACTATACTATTTGGAGAATTTTCTTTCACATTGGCAGGATTATTCCTGCTTTGTTCAATTTCGATTTTCCAGTACGATTTTGCATGGAGTATTGTTTAGCTCACCAAGGATTATCTATGTTTAGAGATGTGCTGTTTCTTTAGGATACTATGATTATTGAGTATTGATTTTTTTTCAAGTTTAGACTTTAATCTTATAATGTTCTGTGAACCCTTTTTCAGGTGTGATGTCTGAGGCATTATTTTTCATACCTGAAAAGGTCTAGCCAGTTATTGATGCATCCAGATTTCTGCTGTTATCAGGTAAATCAGGAACTATGGACCAACTCATGTCTAGGCCAAGATTTCAGGTACGCAAAATACACTTATCTGCAGCAATCTGCTTGCCTTTGGCTAAGAAGGCCTCATAGATGTTCAGTGATTTCTTAGACTGGCATCCTACATCTAAGAACACCTTTCACTGCATGTTTGTGTTATTTATCATCATAATCTTTGTCTTTCTAACCTTCAAAATAGAATGTTAAAATGCACTGTCCTTGAGTTTTTATTGTGTGTGATGCAGAAGGCTTGATCTCTTTCAGCTACAGGTCCAAAACATATGGAGAATATTACACCTGCATTTTATGGTCAGCATTAGCTTCCTATTCAGTTGTGAGTGCAATTTAAAGTGTTGACTTTAATCTTTAAAGCCCCTCATTGTTTAGAAGTCAGTTACCCCAGATATCACATCTCTCCCTATGCATCATCGCGGCAATTAAAATCAGCTGCAGTGCTTGCAGTTCAGAATCCCCCAGTGAATTGTGGGGAGCCTGAGAATATATCACTTTCTAAAGAAGAAGTTCCCTAAGATCACTCTTTTCCTATAAATGATAAAGGCAATATTTGGAGTTTATAGTTTTGGCCTTGAATGTCCTGTCATATGTCTATAGGTCCCTGGAACCATTAAGCACTGTTGATTTAATTTTTATGTCATTTTATATTATTTGGCCAAGAGCTTAGAATACCAAATATACCTTTTAATGAATCAGAAAAATAAGTTGTGTATATTAAAAATAGAAAAAGCTAAAATTCATCTGTTTCATATTTGTTAGTGTGGGAGTTTTCACTCCAGCATTCTCTCACTCAAATTTTTCTTTGAATCTAATTTTAAATATCTTCAGTAAAGGGATTTGCCATAAATACTTTGGGGACTATTTCAAAATCCATGACTCATGGTAAGTCATTTCTCTAAATGCTTAGCTAAATGTTTGATTTCTTAATGTTTTATCAGATGTCTGTTACTTTAAAATTGTGCTATGTCAAATAATAACTCTTTTTATTGTATACAAAGTTCAAAGCTATTGTTAAGGTGAACTTCACCAACACATATTATGCCAGACCATGGAGCTATCTTTTGGAAAGAAAAGATGATTGGTAATGGGGCTTTGAGGAACTGGTAGTCTTATATCTAATGGTTTAAACAAAGAATGGTGTCGGCTACTGTTCTTACTCCTCCCTCAACTTATCTCTTTCTCTTTCCCAGCCTGACCCTCTCCAACCATCAAAATTTCTTTAAAAATGCATGGTACTACTAGGAAAATGTCTGAATGACTTCCAATGTACTCTGTCTCTGACTATGATCTTGTAAGTATTAAATGCAATTATAAATAGTTACCTTTTTCTATCATAAAACATAGTTACAGTAAATTTCAATAAGATGGTTTTTATTCTATTATGTTCTTACTAGAAAGAATCTTTAGGTTTCAATTAAATTATTTCTTAAACTTTTAAAAAATATAAAAGATGCTAGTGTTGTAAATATGTTTATACTTCACATAGAAGCCAATGCTTATTGAAATCTAAAAAAGATGTCAAATAAAATGCATACAGTAAAACTGTTGTAATAGGTGTGATTTTTCTAAGAATTTACTGCATATCACACTATT